TTTAACTCAGCTGATTTCACAGGGTTATTTTTGCATGGAAAATTTGAAGGAGGGAGTGCTAAATAGTCAGTTTGGAGGAAAAGCAAAATATAAATCTCCACAAAGAAGAAAACGAGAACTAAGCTTACAGATGACTGACTTGAGATCTACTGACTTTTTAATAGTCTGAGAAAAGATGCCAAAGCAACCGTGGAACACTGCAAAGGGACCATTAAATCGGTTAACACTGAAGAAGACACCACCACAAAAGAACCAACCAATGTCTAACGTGCCATATAGGTCATTATAGCATAGATGTTTGTCATGTATAAGCAGAGTCTAAGATTAAAAATTGTGGCTCAGGGGCTAAAGATGAACCTCAGGCTCTGTTGACAGTTGAATGAACTCAGCCGGTGGGGTCCTTTCCAAAACTGGTTCTTCAAATGTCTCCCCTCTGGTTAATTAGATTCAATTCTTGTTTCAGGAGGGACTTTGGCCAACTGGCTTTGCTCCGGATGCTCCTGCCTGCCAGATGTTTGGATGGCAAGCAAATGGCTTTATCGAAAGTCCATTTTCCCCCTTCCAATCAAGAGCCAAATTCACTCAAGGTGATCTGTTTGGGTGAGAGCTTTTAATGCAAAGAAGGACCAGGGGTGGCACGACGGCAGTGTTCCAATATTTGAGGGGCTGACACAAAGAGGAGGGAGTTGACTTGTTCTCCAAAGCGCCTGAAGGCAGGACAAGAAGCAAAGGATAGAAACTAATTAAGGAGAGAAGCAACCTAGAACTAAGGAGGAATTTCCTGACAGCAAGAACAATTAATCAGTGGAACAATTTGCCTCCAGAAGTTATGGGTACTCCGACACTGGGAGTTTTTTAAGAAGAGACTGGACAGCCCTTTGTCTGAAATGGTATAGGGTTTCCTGTCTGAGCAGAGGGTTGGACTAGAAGACCTCCAAGGTCCCCTTCCAACTCTGTTATTCTATACGCTCTATTCAGAGCTGCACCAAACCATAATGAGATCTGTCGCAAGCAAGAGGATTCTGCTCAAGGAGCAAATAACTGTCAAGAAAGCTTATTTTTGGTCGCTCAAAGACGGCTTGTGATATTATCTTGCAAAATGTAGAAAACTGAGTTGCTGTGGTCTTAAAATCTTAGTGACCAACTAAGGTGAGTTCTGATTTAAAGTGGGAAGTCCTCTTGGAATAAATTCATTTGAAAAGGGGGAAAAAAATTGTTGCTTTTCCAGGAAAGAACCTTTCCAACTCCTGTAGAGGCAACACACAGTAAATCTGGAAGCATATTCCATGGAAAATTTTCAAGGAAATTATTTGGTATTGTTTGCCTCCTACTGGCCACGGGGAAAGACTAACTGTAGTTAATAGGACTGAGAGTGCGACTGTTACTTTCAAGCATAAAGTATTCGATGTCCTTCAGTAGCAGTATTTTTGTTGCTCTGTTTTCCCTCCCCTACGAGTCATAAAAGAGCCAAGGTTGCCTACCCTGCCCTATGCCAATCTGTGATGGATAAGGGGCATCTCCACGTAGCCCTCGGCTTACGACAATTGAGCCCAACACTTTTGTTGCTAAGTGAGACAGTTGTTAAGTCAATTCTGCACCATTCTATGACCTTCCTTGTCACAGATAAGTGAATGACAGCAGTTGTTAAGTTAGAAAAAAATGGTTGTGACTTCCCAACTGACTTTGCTCGTCAGGTCACAAAAGGTGAACCCATGACCCCAGGAGACGGTGACCGTCATAAATATGAGTCAGTTGCCAAGTCTCTGAATTTTGATCACATGAGGATGCTGCAAAGGTCGTAAGTATGAAAAGCTGTCGTAAGTCACTCTTTTTTCAGTGCCGTTGTAACTTTGAATGGTCACTAAAGGAACTGTTTTAAGTCGAGAACTACCTTTATATAGTTACTTGCATAATTTCTGGACGTCTCCACAGAAGTGATCTAACATGTTCAATGAACTGAGCCACAGCGAAGTATGCATTTCATGAATTTCAGATTCACAAAAATTCCTATTTTTCTGCCTACTATGAACTCATACAGCTGGCCTAAAAAAAAGGTCTCAGGTTTCTAAGCAGAGCTATATTTCAGCAAGAGCAGTTCTAGTCTTCATTTGCACAGATAGCAAGAGATAGCAAGCAATGTGCTTTCCATGCTTTACAACACTGTACAGAAATGTTGGAGCTGGTGGGTTATTCACTTTATCATAAAGAGACTAGTGCTCATGATTTCACCAGTGAAGCCAGAGTGTAAAATATTTTAATCAGCTAATGGTATTTCCTTCTACTAACCTTATTGAAAAAAACAATACAGATGCAATTGTCTCACGCACTGAAATATTTGGATACATTTAAAACAAAACAAAAAAAAAGAATAATTATACTGCCTCAGTATGTACAACATCTGGGTATATGAGAACAAATTAAATGGCATCTAGAAAAATTAATGTGGTGCAGTTGCATTCCAAAGGCTACTACAAAGCATTCGTGTTCACCCCCCCTTTTTAAAGGAAGGGGTGTTAATAATCAACCAGCAATTGTGTATTAATTCCACAAGGGGGCATCTGAAGCATATTTTTTTAACCTAAAGTAACTGCGAACAAAATTGAATACAATGTGCCTTTCAAACATCAAGATAATTAAAGGAATTTAAAAATGGTTTGCTATAAACGCACCTATGTTTAGAAGACTTCAGTTGAAATTTGGGTTGAGTGCACAATGAGGGCATTAAAAATTGTCAGGGGGTGAGGATACATGCAGCTTTAGGCTTCTGTGCTAGTTTTGATGGCCAGAAGCCCATATAACAAGCATGAGATCATAGAGAAATGTCTCCGTTGACGGATTTTGGATTATCTTTACTGTCCCTGTCAAGCAATGAAGCCATCAATTGGTCCATCTAAAACAAGATAACTAAAAACAAAGTTTGTCCCTCTTCTGTTCGTGGGATGGGGCATGCTGATGCCTTGCTTAAGGCCACACTTGGAATACGGCATCCAGTTTTGGTCACCACGATGTAAAAAAGATGTTGAGACTCTAGAAAGAGTGCAGAGAAGAGCAACAACGATGATTAGGGGACTGGAGGCTAAAACATATAAGGAACAGTTGCTGGAATTGAGTATGTCTAGTCTAATGAAGAGAAGGACGAGGGGGCACATGATAGCAGTGTTCCAGTATCTCAGGGGCTGCCCCAAAGAAGAGGGAGTCAAGCTATTCTCCAAAGCGCCTGAAGGCAGGACAAGAAGCAACGGATGGAAACTAATCAAGCAGAAAAGCAACCTAGAACTAATGAGAAATTTCCCGACAAGGAGAACAATTAATCAGTGGAACGACTTGCCTCCAGAAGTTGTGGGTGCTCCATCACTGGAAGTTTTTAAGAAGAAATTGGACAAACATTTGTCTGAAATGTTATAAGGTTTCCTGCTTGCATAGGGGTTGAACTAGAAGACTTTTAAGGTCCCTTCCAACTCTGTTATTCAGTTATTCTGTTATGATTTATGAAAGGCACCAAAGCTGCAAATAGCAGCTTTAAATGTAATAGTGTACTAGGCCATTCTGTTCCAATAAAGAGATTTTCAACATTTGGAACAATTCTTACATTCTCTCTAAAGTTCCTTTGGAGGATCCCTTTTGGAATCATATCAAAGGGTTCCAGTCATCTTTCAAAATGCCGAATCCAATGCACATGTACATAACAGGATAACCTATGACAGGACTTAGCATAAATTAGCTTTTAGGCTGTAATTGTTTGGTCTGCATGCTGAAGTCTAAAGGTTCTTCAATTATATAATCACTTCTTTTCTTACACCACATACAAAAGATCTTCCACCCCCAAAAGTAAGGAGTAAAGCACAATTTATTTATTTTTTTGGTGGTTATCATTTTTCCTCAAACCTTGGATGCCTTTGTATTGTTTCAAATAAATGACACAGCGATGAAAATAATGAGTTTAATAAATATTAGTACAGAAATAATATAGGGTATAATTTCTTCTCTCATCTGAAGGAATTAAGGCTTCACACGTACAATCTGAAAAATTTCCTAAGCTCTCAGCTGAGGCACTCTACCGAGGAGACAACTGCACTCAACCACAAAATCTTTTATTTTTTTTTTGTTTTTTAAAAAAATTGTGCAAGCCAATGCAGAACATAGTTTGTTACAATGGCAGAATAAATAATACCCCAAAGAGGCAGTTTAGGTCAAGATAAAAATCCAATTCAGCTTTCATATTGATTCAAGCTCTATTCTTCGTGACAATCTCAGCCCTGGGAAACCAAAGGACAGCACTTTAATTTCTTGCTTACACACCGACGTCTGTGTGGACATATAAACATGATCTCAAATGGAATTATTTCACTTCTGTTGAGTTCCTTCTGCAGGGCCATGGCTTAATGTTCACTTTTCATAGTAACATAGGAGACCTTTTAGAGCAGACATGTCAAACACAAGGCCCGGGGGCCGGATGCGGCCCGCAAAGTGGTTTCATGTGGCCCGCGAAGCCATCCTGGAAACAGTGAGGGAACGGCCCCTGCTGTCTTGGCCCTGGCCCAGGCCGGCCGGCCAGCCAGCCAGCCAGGAGCCAATGTACAATTTTGTGGTGGCCCTCTATGCCAAAACACATTCAGTCTTAGCTCCATAAGCCCCCCCCCCACATGGCCTGAGAGGAACAGTGAGGCTCCTCCAGTGGACCATGCCTTGGCACTTGCCCCGGTCCCACCCCCTTCTGCCAGAGACCCTCAGATCTGTCCCACACTTGCCCAGGCCCCCACAGGCACCCTTGACGCGAACGATGTACAGCTGGCCACACCCACCCAGTAGGCCACACCCACTCCATCCGCACCCACCCTGGCCACACCCACCCGGCCCCGAGGGCAATTGCAATGCGGATGCGGCCCTCAACGAAATTGAGTTTGACACCCCTGTTTTAGAGCATAGTTATCAAAATGCCAAAATCACAACGGATGAAACAGAAAAGGAAATAGAAAAGGCAACAAGGAAAAGGACGCAGAGCGATTCCATGTATGTTTTATTGCACTGTACATTCAAAAGGGAGAGTCTACCACTTGCGAAGACGCGGCCTCAGACGGGAGTATCAAGAAAACAGCTGGAAAGAACCATTATATAGCAAAACCACCACAATATCTCTCATACGCCCACTTCAAATGTGACTGTTTTAAAATGGAGACCATTCCCAAGATTCAGCTGGCCACCATCTTTCTAGACCCTGTTGTTTTATTCTAATCTCACCTCCACATAAACATTTGTTCAAGGATTGGAGTCACATCCTCACGTGACCCGAGAATGACTCTGGATGATGCATGAATGTGTTCCTATCCTTATTCGCCTGCACCCCTGCAACCAGACACAACTGTGGGGCTTGTTCTCTTTCTGTGAGTTCTTTCAATTGCTGCTCCTTACCTGCCCACATTCCTTCATCCTACTGTTCCATCAAGATCACCATTTTCCTATCAGTCCAGCCAACTGGAGCTCTCAAACCACAACTTCCCAACCTTCTTCTGAGGTGTGGAGTTCCCACGAGTGTTCAAAAAAAAAAAAAAAAAGCAGGGTAAGTAGGAACAAGAAGGACGTCCAGGCATGAGTTACACAAATGAGAATTAATGCAATGAGTTGGCAGTCTTGCTGTGCAATTAGAAACCATTGAAAAAAGCTTGAGATGCCTAATTACTCTATCAGTTTCTCTACAGCAAACTGATCTTAAGAGTCATTCAGCACCCACCATCCATCCTGAATTTTTTTAAAAAAAAAAAAAAGATCTACTTCATAATGTACAATCCGTTTCTACATCATTCACAGGTTTTGTTTTGTTTTTCTCAGTTACACAGTAGCCTTTTGCTGTCTTCAAAATGTACCTAAGGCAACGATAGCAGGTTTTACTCCATACTGCAGAAAAGCTATTACACCTACAGTTTGTAAAAATACTCAATACGACACCGAATACTCCAAAACAAGGTAGTGATGTCCTTTGCATGTACTGAACAGCAAGTCAAATGATTTAACTACATGCTGGCTCAATATCATCCTTTGAGAAGATAAATGTGTGAGCAAGGTTGTAAAGCGCAAAACTGAAAACATACAACGATCGCCTTCCATTTAACAGACAACAGATTTCATTTCCGTGACATTCCCTGAGACAAAAAAATAAATAAGTAAGTGCGCAATAACAACTAACAACTGAGGTCGTAAACATGCTACTATTACATATGGTGTCTATGGGTACATTTATCCCAAATGTACAATATGCTGACTATTGCCTTCACAACCCTTCTTTGCAGACACCAGAATGGGACAATTTGACGCAACCAACTAGCCATGGCCAACTCACTGTGGGACAATTCAACAATTCAATTTAATTATTTAAAATAATTTTAAAAAATATTTTAATTGTTGTCATTCACATTTCAATTTGTCCCTCCATTTTGGCTCCCTTTCTTTAATGATTCTATCCCACTATTTCTTTGATATTAGTCTAACTCTTGTCCTTGGTGAGTTGGCTGTTGCAAGTGGTCGTAGAGCTGAAGACACTGTCAAACCCACCCAATCAACATACAGTACCGAAAAGTCTCGTGCGGGCGAATAAGCTATAACCATAAAAGGCAGCCTATACTGATAGCGAAACGGCAAAGAATATCTTGATGGAATTAAACTTGAGTCATATTCCCTCGTCAGAACTGTGGAACAAACGCATTAGAAGACGGGATTTTTTGCGTAATCCAGATTTGCCCTTTAGATGCAGAAGCGTGAGAACACATAAACTATTACCTAATGCAGTGTTTCCCAAACTTGACAATTTTAAGGCATGTGGAATTCTGGGAGTTGAAGTCCTCATGCCTTAAAATTGTCAAGTTTGGGAAACACTGACCTAATGGAACACAGGAAAATAACTTAACGGCGTGATTTTGAATGATCTCTACGACAGCTCTTGAACCGATATGAATTAATCTCATCCCCGTTTACCATGCTGAATTGCAAGCTGTCAGAGGGTCTTTTCACTGACACCGGAGGAAAGGAAAATAGCCTTGGACCTTCCAAGTTAACTGGGTACTTTCTGAAAAATGGACCAAGATCCCTAAGGCATGCAGAACACATGCTGAAAAGTTTCCAAAACTCATTGATAAAAAGCAGGTTTTTTCAGGATTCTTCCATTATGGAAATCAAGCTTGAAGACAGCAGTGGAATGCCTTTCAGAATTAGCTGGGTCCACTGAAAGATATCACACTGGTTCATCCACACATTCTCAGAAATAACCTTACAAACGGCATCAAGCGGTTGGAACAGAACTTAGGAAGTTGGGAGGATATCTTGCAAGGGAGGCCACTTCCGGAGCTCATTCCGAGTACCACGACTACAAGGTTGCAGGATCCATATTCTTTCTTTTCTTGGAAGGTACCCATTTGCTACAGAGAAAGCAAGGAGCATTCTTGGTCCAGGGCGACAATGTGGACTGATCATGTATATCTGCATTTATACCCTTACTCAGTGCACTAGAGATGGGTTTTTTGTTTTTTTGTTTTGTTTTGTTTTTTGTGGTTTAACTTATTCCAGGTCAAAATAAGAAGCAAAAGCCTTGATGCCAAGGTCAAAGGCCTGTCTTACAGACGCGATGGATACAACGCTGGGAAACTTACAAAATGTAGTCCTCTTCCTTTAGGCTGTGAAAGGTCAGAAGAATCAGCAGAACATTCCAGAGGGGACGTCATCTTCAGTCTAGGTAACGAGTTTCTCTGAAACACGCCCTAATCGTTTCATTTAGACTTTTTTTTTTATTTAAAAAACACACACACACATGCACGCACACTTCCAAGAGTGAAAACACTCAAGTATTTTAGCAACGTTAACACCGCGTTGTAGAATGGCTCCATTCCCCCTTTTCGTTACAATAGTTGCTTCTTCTTCCTGGTTATCTGACTTCCGTACCCTTCGAAGCATCCGTTGCCAGCAACAGATGCCCAAGCTGAGATGCCGAGAGCTCCGTTGAGCTTTCTTGGGCCGCAGTCAAGTCTCTGGGAGGAGGCTCCTTGCTAACGAGTCATCAACTTCTACTTGTACAAACTCATCGTAGGGCTCTGATACATGCACATGTAAGCATCACAAAGTAGTCTTCGTGCGCAGCCTTGGATTCTCCTTGAGTCCAGAGAGTGCAATTCCTCGAGAGACATTTTTAGATACTCGCCAACTTCTGGACACGGAGTCACTTGAGGGATGTTAAAACCATTTTGACCTCCTTGGAAGAGAAAAGACAGGAACACGGATTACCTCAGCAGGACAATGGTGACATCTACATGTTAACGGCATTGTCAGAATCCGATTATATTTCATTTCTAGTTATCGACTATGGAAAACCCCATTTCTGCCCTCTCTGGATTCTGTCATACTACGAAGGGGAAGGGGGGATGAGCAAAGGGCTTTTATGGCTCTCACTTCTTTCATTAAAACTTCGAAGGGACTGAATGTGGATCTCACCAAGAGGACTGACCATAACAATATGGCCATCAGCTTTCATCTACTACTCTCTGAAGCCTCCCTTCTGCCGGTCGAGAGGAAAAGGGGGTGGAAATGTAACACCTGGGATCGTCGCTGGAAGGACGGCGGGGTGGGGGCTGCTTGGGAACACTTAAAACCTTGAATGGTAGAGGTTGGCCCCTCAGGTCCTATCTAGAATGCCTGCACCATCTTCTCTTAATAAAGATGCCTGTTGGAAGAGATATTCCAAGAGTTCTGTCTTCTTAAGATGTAAAGTGGGGTGGGTCCTTACAGGCATTCTACTTCATGCCAATTTAAATCTCCCAGCTTGTGACCGAAATGATCGATTTTGGAATAAACCAAATGAGTGTCACAAAAAAAAAAAAAAGAGTGCAAAGAATAACAAAGATGATTAAGGGACTGGAGGCTAAAACACGAAGAACAGTTTGCAGGAACCAGGTTTGTCTACTTTAATGAAAACAAGGGCTGGGCAGTGTTCCAATATTTGAGGGGCTGCCACAAAGAAAAGGGGGTCAACCTAGTCTCCAAAGCAGCAGCAGAAGAAATGGATGGAAGCTAATCATGGAGAGAACCAACCTAGAACTAAAGAGAAATTTCCTGACAGTGAGAACAATTAGTCACTGGAAGGACTTGCTTCCGGAAGTTGTGGGTGCTCCAACACTGGAGTTTTTAAGAAGAGATTGGATAATCCTTTGTCTAAAATGGTATAGGGTTTCAAGCTTGAGTAGGGGGTTGGACTAGATGACCTCCAAGGCCCTTTCCAATTCTGTTATTCTATTATATTGTCTTTTTCAACTTTTCCATACCCTGCCACCATCCACATTCGTTTTGTACATAATTCCTGGAATTCTCAAGAGCTGAGCAGAGATTTATTTATTTTTTTAATCTCCCTGGCCTTACCCTACATCAGGGGTAGTCAACCTTGGCTCTTTTATGACTAAGCTGGCTCGGGAATCCTGGGAGTTGAAGTCCACGAGTCATAAAAGAGCCAAGGTTGACTACCCCTGCTCTACATCATTCACCTAGCCTTTTCTAGATTAACCTAGCATTAACAAGGCGCCCTACAATCCGGGGAATGTTGACAGGATTTGAAAAGTGGATGCCACGGTTCAAAGACTGGGGAACGCGGCTTCAACCGTCGTGCCGCGAGGCATCTCATGACAGATGTTGTGGTAAGAGGTTCATTCATTTAAGTGCCAGGCTAGCAGCTGAATGTTCACAAAAGAGAAAACATACCATCCCGATCAGCCATGCTATCGAAAAAGAGCCAAGAGGAGTCTTCCTTGCCATATTTAACAAAAGCCACATAGTGGCTCGTCTCTATACAAAGAACGGCAAAGAGCTCCATCTTCTGACAAGGGATGCAGCTGTGCCTCCAGTCCCAGTCTGGCAAGTCTTTTGGAAGAGACACTGGATTGAACTTGTGACTCTGCCTTTTGGGGTGAAGATGAACCTAGAAAGGAGGGGGAGCAGAAACTATTATTAGCAAGGCATTGTAAAATGGTATTAACACTTCACATGGTCTTGATTCTATCCCTCTGTTAATGCAGCCTAGCACTGTGTTGGTTTATTTGGCAGCTGCAGCACACGGCTTGCTCATATTTAAGTGATTGTCCACTAGGACTCCGAGATCCCTCTCACAGTTACTACTGTTGAGCAAGGTACCACCTATACTATGCCTGTACATTTGGTTTTTCTTGCCTAAATGTAGAACCTTACTTTTTTCACCATTGAATTTCATTTTGCCCCTTTCTGAAAGAATCCAGTTGCCACATAAGAACAGCAATGTCAAAAACAAAATCCTAGGACAGTGATGGCGAACCGTTTAGAGACCGAGTGCCCAAACCGCAACCCAAAACCCACTTATGCATCGTCGGGTGCCGGGTGGGTGTGGCCATTGGCTGGATGTGGCCCATTGGGTGGGTGTGGCCCATTGGGTGGGCGTGGCTGCGGTGGTAACGGCAGATTGGGTGGAACTAAAAAGTTCAATCAATCAATTCCAACGTTGCAAGATCTTTTTTTTCCCCGCAAGAAGTTGAAATTGACTGACACACAGCGGCGGAGGCCTAAAGCGCAAAGGTTTTATAAAACCCAGCTGAAGGCCTAGGACTGGGGCGATGGTGCGTGTGCCCACAGAGAGGGCTCTGAGTGCCGCCTCTGGCAACCGTGCCATAGGTTCGCCACCACTGTCCTAGGACCTTTGGGAAAAAACAAACTTACCTGCGTATTGCACGTTTTGCAAAACTGCTTGATTTTACCAGAGGAAATGTCTGAATCGTCGTAACATTCCCGACATTCGTACATTGCAAGTCCTCCACAGATACGGCACTGCCTGGGAGCTGCATTTTACAAAAAGAAAAACACCCATTGTGCTGGAGGCTACCCTTCTGTATAAACCGAAGCCATATCTACATTGTTTTTTTAAAATAAGATTTTTTAAAATAGAAAATTAAACTTTTGAGTAGAAGAAAATTAGCTCACTCCATTCCTGCACAGATATAACTAATTTAAAGGATGTGACCTGTCGTATTTGGAATTCTTCTAGATCAGGGGTGTCAAACTGCCGGCCCATGGGCCAGATGCGTCATCGCGAAACCGCACCTACCTCATTGCCGGCAATGGAAAAAAAGCCGGAATACGTCACGACACGTCATGTGACGTTGCGGGTTTGACACCCCTGTTCTAGATTTTCTACTGAGAACTGAACAGGTGTGGCAGATAGGAAAAACAAGAACTGAATGGGGGGGGGACCTCACAATTTCTCCAGGGATTGTTGGAAAAATTAAGTCTTGTTCATTCTGCACTGATACAGTGGACGTGCAACTTAAACATGTTCCATCTAAATTCTAACAGAATATATTAGTCAGCAGACTGGCGGGTAAAAGATTCTTTATTTCCTAAAGACAGTTAGGATATCCGTTTTCTTTATTTCCCAATGGCAGTAGAACTCATTTATTTTAGGAAACTGAGAAACTGGAGCGGCCTGGAGGTCAACCGTTGATATGGTTCTGCTAAAGTTCGCAATGAAGGTTTCAGACCCTGATGCTATTTGTGTATCTGCATTGAAACAAGATTTTTATGGTCCACAGCAACTCCATTCTGCATTATTTTGAAGGTGATTCATTTTATTGATAAAGGTATCCAGCTTCATCAAATGTTGGGGGCAATGTAAATATATAGATATACATTGCTTACTGGTGTACACCGCTTAGAGAGTGCTTGCACTTAAAGCGGTATATAAGTCTCATAAAATAAATAAATAAATAAATAAATAAATTCGTTTGAACAACTGAAGACTCAGCCTTATTGCACCATCATGAAGCACATTTAAACTCACTGTCTTCCAGCAGGTCTGTGATATTCAGTTCCAGAGAGGGGAAAATTTTGTTGAACATTTTGAAGTCCTTGCCAAATCGAGGCATCTGAATTATCAGACATGATGGGGCCTAGTAAAACCCAACAGAAAAAGGATAGGTGTTTTAGTCAAAGAGACTTCATTTGCTCTTTTCAGTTTATTAAATCCTGATGACCCCTAATGTAAAGTTAAAAAATATAATCAGTTGCACAGATCAGTCCAACCTTTGACTTAACAATCTAAAGCAGGGATGTCAACTAAACCATTTTAAGACTTGTGGACTTCAACTCCCAGAATACCCCGCCTCTGGGAGTTGAAGTCCACTGGTCTTAAAGTTGCCAAGGTTTGACGGCCTGATCTAAAGCAAGAAGGAAGCTAATGGGCCTCCAGGTGATGCTGAACTAGAACTCCCAGAATCCCTTGCCACTGGTCATTCACACAAGGCAGTTGTGAATTTAAGCTGTGAAACATCTGGATGCCTTGAGTTCCCCACCTGTGCTTTAACTAATAAATCATTTGCACAAATAGCTCAAGCAAAGCTTCAAGGAAGTTCTTTTGATATCTACTGAAGACGTAAATCCCTCACTCAACATGATGAAGAGTCACCTCCTAATCAATAAGAATTTATTGAATTACTGTAGAGACACTTGCATGCTGATCAACTCAGTCAGCAGAATGTGCATTGATTGGTAAAACTATAAAAAGAGGAATCTTCTCCAAACCTCTGCAAATTTCAAATTGCTGTTGATGAAAGACCATTCCAGTAACTGCTGTATGGTAGGCACTCCAACGTTCTCATTCTTGTCCATAAAAATCTGATAGAAATAGCAGTCTTGGACTTTTTGTCCTGCTGATCTAAGAAGAGAGATACAAGTCTATTTGACAATGGGGACTCTTAAAGTTGGTTTTAAAAAGAATCTATTACTACTGCGACCAGATTTGTCTTCGGGGTTAGAGCAGAATCCTGTAGCAATAGATTCCTGCATCTGGAATGAAACCAGATGACTTGGATTTTAAGAGCCTTTCCAAACGTTTAGTTATAAATATAAGAATAAATTATTATTGATTCATCTACTTATAATAAATAACACATTCTGCTAGAGAAAAGTTCCCTGAAATGGGCTCCAGCATGAGTCCAAAAGCTCGGAAGACTAAACTTTCGGTTCCGGTGACCGACCCAGATTTGATCCTGGAATAAATTATTCCTTAAACTGATGAAGGGATTATTTCTAAAGTTAAATAGCCGATACCTATCAGTCTGTGAACTATGTAATTGTTGAAATTACAGATTTCTGTAACCTTCAGACAATTTCCTAACCTATATGTAATTTAGCAATACGATGCTGGCCACAAGTTCTCCACATCTGATGCTATTATGGCAGATACAAGGTTGAGACATAACTGACATTTATGTGTTAAGTAAACAAGATAAAGCAGCAATAAGTGCCTTTGAAATATCCCCAAGACAAAGGCATAGCTAAATGTTCACAGTTTACAAAACTAAACACAATTGAAAGTAATGGAGATGCTTGCACGGTGTTCCCAGCCATAACTGTCTTTTGGAAATTATCCTCAACATTATACATTATAGATAATTAAGTAACTCTTGTGACTTTACGATTTCTCTTGTGTGAGCCAAGGATTATCTTTACCTTATTTTTAGAAGTGGTTCCACTCTTAAAATATGATGAAACAAAATATTCAAAAATTCTTCTGGATCTGGAAAAAAAAAGTTTCATCAGCGTATCAAAGCCCAGATAATTTTTTAAAAATATAGTAAAAATGCAAGCTGCCTAATACTGCCTGAAATCAAGTCTCAAAACTGCTAGCAGCACTCTGAACTATGAAATCGGGGAGCCGACATTTTCTAGATTATTTGGGGATGATCTGACATTTGTCTTTAATCATTTTCAGAATCTGCAGATGTGGAACTTCATTAATCTGTTATTTTAAGCAGAGTCTTTAAACTAAGGATGGGCTACCAAAAGAACATAAAGGGGTTTATGGTGATGATGAAAATCTTTTCTAGACTTCTGTTTAATAACATGAAATAACATCCTTTCAGTTCTTCCTCATTATCAATACTACAGAATGAACTTACCTTTTTCTTCAGATGTGAATCCTGATGCTGCTTCAACTTTTTCCAGAATCTTTCTCAGCTTCATTATTTTGGTGGCACACACATATCCATATCTAGAAGATAAAAAATGCAAGTCTGAAAAGGCAGACAGAATCTGAAGAAGCAACATTGCCAAGAATATTATCTTGATCTGCCTCCAATCCAAAAGTAAAAAGAGGTAAAAAAAAATTGTACAGGGGCCAGAGATAGTCAAGCAAAGCAAAAGTTTTCACACTTCTTGTTCTACCTTCCAAAAACCATTTCAAACATCTTCCTGTTTGTAGAAGAAGCTTTCAATATTTCCCACCAAAGCTGGAATGTATTACAGGTAGCTCATTTGTACTTACATTCGAAGAGGATTTACTATCTCTGTCCGTAGCAGTTCTTGAGTTTCGCTGTAATATTCTACATCGTTCTTCTCTTTGGGTCGGAGCAAGACTGTATCCAAAACAGAACTGAATGCAAACAGGCTGAAAGAGCAGAAAACAAATAGTTTCAAACTGGAAAGGGGAGGGAGGGGGAAAAAAAACCACATCTTCAGATCGAGACCGTCCCAAAATCTATTGCAGAAAGAGATGCTTATAACAGATTCTGTGATATTCTGACCAATATCTGTTTCCAGAAACAGTATTTACATTTTGGAACAGTGTAATCTGAACCTTACCAGCAAGCTAAGCTCACCGTGCATACCACCTTACATAATACAAAATCAAGTTTGAGAAAATTTTGCCTTAAAAAAGAGAATGTGAGCCGTATCAAATACCAAAGGCTCAATCAGAAGAGAAAGAAAAAGAAAGGAACACTTGAACGGGAAAAAAAAATCCAGGAGAAGTAGTAGTGTTAAGTTTGATTCTGTGTCTTAAAACATAATGCCTTTCCCAGACTGTAAGCTAAGCTCTGGCCAATTTACGAGGTTAAAAAAAATCCCTAATATATAGATAATAGTCCTCATTTAATGGCTTCCCTATTTAATGACCATTCAAAATTATGAAGGCATTGAAAAACTTTACAACTAGACCTCGCATTTATGACTGTTAACAGCATCCCCACAGTAAGTGATCATGTTTTGGGCATTTCACAATTAGCAGGCATTTTCATGTGACTGCCATTTGTGCACATCACAGCTGGCTTCCAAAAATCAGGATCCAAGGAGAAGCCAGTGTAAAATCAGAAGTTGCTTAATGATGCCTGCCAGTCCTAATTCTGGTCATTAAGCAAGATTACCTATCTTCATTAACCTTTCAAAAGCACCTAGAAATTTCAAATTGCTGTGTGTAGATTAAAAAACACCATGCGCAAGCTATTAGATTAATGTTCACTTCACTGGATTTTTTAAAAATGCCTATCGTGTGTTTTTGTCATCTCAGGTTTGAAACACAGTTTTTTCTTTATTTACCAGAATAAGGTGGAATCTAAGTAGCAAGAGTTATAATGACCCTGGATGCCCTTTTTCTTTCCAATCATTGTTTCTAAACCTTCTTTTTCCATTTTTGGAGGAGTGTTTTCTTCAACCACTTCACTGAGATAGCCTCCAAAAGCTGAAAAACAAAATCAGGAAATTAAAGCTACGTCTGCTCTCGTTCATAATTCCACATCAGCAACACGTACAATAGAAATATTACCATCAAAAGCCCAATACAAAGTCCAGCATAGTCACAGGCCCACCTGCTTCTCCATTCTTGGGACCGACATTGCTTTTACGGAAACACGTACATGCACTTATTCCTCACAAATGTGCACATATATACACGCTTACAGGCAGAAACACACACAGAGAGATAATTAGAAATGTTTTATTCCAATTCAGAATAAAGCCAGAACTTGTTATCAGCAAAGCTGTACAGAGAGACAAAGGTAGACCATACCTAAGGAATTGCAACGTTCAATCTGATTGGACACAGGCTGCAAAGAAGCAAATCTGGAATCCGGTCGACAGCTCTTCAGTTTGACAAAAAGAGCTTTCTTTGGGGCGCAGGTAAAGTAACGAGTTCCTTTAAAAGTCCCATCAGTGCAACCTGCACATTCATCTTCCTGAAAAAAAAAAAAAGAGAACTCTGAACTTCTCAGTCAATACTCACACATACAGAAACTGTAGCGCTACGAGACACACACACCCTACGTATAACCTGGCTAAATGGCTGTCACAACGCTGTTGCTTCCTCACTCAGACCTCAAACAGCAATCACATCATCCACACAATTTCTGACAAAAGTCCAAGGCTTAAAGGTGGCTCTTGATGAGATCACAGTCTCCTTTGATGTAGTGTCCCTATTTACATTCCTCCCTCTCCACTTAGCACAATGTGTCATAGAACAGGTCGTCCTTGACTTACAACTAGGCATTCGATGACTATTCTAATTCAGAATTACAACGGACCCAAATGGGACTTATGACTCGGTTTTAAAGTTCCAAAGTCCAGACACCCCCTCCCCCAATCATGTGACATTTTGAGCCCTTGGCAATTGGCCTGCACAACTGACCACAACGTAAAGACACTTTGGGCGGAAACCAGCATTTACTTCTGCTTTCCAGCTAAAATTGCCCCAGAGCAAACAATGGGTTCATTTAATAAGCGCTGCAAAAAAAAAAAAAAAAAAAAGATCATTCAAAGCGGGTCTGATCACATGGTGACCTACTTTACGACCATCGTGACTTACAACTGTAATTACAGACTCAATTACAGTCGTAACTCAAAGACTGATATCTGCATTATCAGAATTCTGGCAGTGAGTTTTCACCTGGCCTGATGTCAGAGTCAAGCTGTAGCCAGGAAATTTAAGAGAAAGGCCATAATAAAAAGGTACTGCAGGGTAGAGATGGACAAGAGTTGCCCATTGGTTCTCAAATCTGACAGTCATTACCAGTTCAAGCCCAGCTAAGACTTCGCTGACCCCTGGCGGCTGTCCGATCCAACGGATTACCCCATAGAAGGGAGGGTTCTCTTTCACTTCGGCTAAAGAGCCAACTTCAAGGCCATGCAGGTTGATGGGTGCTACGGTGGCCGGTGGATTCTCCTGGGTTGCCCCGGAAGTCCCCTCTCCAATAACCGACTGAACAGATAAGGAGAGTGGGCTGTGTGATATAGAACTGTTGGTGGTGCTTGACATCTTGGTTAGACTGAAAGGCAGGGAATGGAATCTGTTTTCGGAAGATAAACTATTTGTCGGGGCCGGCTGCAGTGGTGGGGAAGCGTTTCCAAATCCAGAAGAGGAGTCATTGAGTGATTTTGCAGAATCTTCAGCCACTGTTGAATTTGGAGGAATACAAAGCAAGAGGCACAGAGAAAAGGAATGACAAATTTTATTAAGGCACCTGAACTGACGTTATGCGCATTTTTGTATAAAATGGAATCTCTCTCTCTTTTTGACTAGATTCTACCATGTAAGAATGAATTACTTTAAAATGGTTTATTGGCACTTGCTAAGTACACTAACAAGCTAACAAGGAGATTTTACTAAAATCACAATCAAGGACTATCATCAAGACTATAATTATAACCAGTAACATTTCACAAATGATTGCAAAGTTTCTTAGTGATAGAAAGTTCACAGCAATTCCAAACGGATGGAAGAAAGTGGGATCCTGGACTCCTTCCAAGTTCATACAGAATATCATGTGAGCTTGGTACATGCTCGAAATAAATTAGATATTGTCCCTCAAGTTTTCCCAGACTCCTACACTCTATGGCAGCTGGGCACAACAGAAAAGCTGATGTGACAAAAAAAAAATCTCAAACACAAAAACCTTTGAAGCCACAATTCTATCTTATTCAACATTTAAGGACTATTTAATATTGAAGAGGTATTGTGTATTTTGTGTCAGCTATTTAAAAAGTGAGGCTTATTGGTCAACTTTAAGCTATTTGCTTAAAACTGCTATTCCAGATCATGCTGGCTGAGGAATTCTGGGAGCTGAAATTGCATCGTTGCTGAGAGTGAAAAACACTGCTCTAGATCTTAGTAATCTGGAAGCCAAGGATTACAGGGAAACAAAAATGAAATCTACACCTCACGTGAATTTGTACCATCAGTTGCAAAGAGGCCCTAAAGGATATAGTCACCAACTTGTCTCCTGAAGACACATAAATAAACCATGAGTCAAAGCTCAGAGCATGAGGTCACAAGCTGGTATAATAGCACATTACTATTTATAAGCCTCTTGCACGCTCTGCCTGCAACCCAACAGGTTTAATACGGAGAATAAGAGCAAGCTGTCACGCAATGTTGGGTATTTTCTACCACGACCCTAAAACCTGGGCTGAAGAAAAAGTCTTCAGTTATCTGACAAACTACAGCCATGAACTAAGGAACTGGGATTTAACCAAAAGAGTTTTACATTTTCCCCACCCTCTTAAAGCCATGCAACTGCTATTACAAGCAATTGCTTAAAAAAAAAAAAAAAGGTCAAGGGCAAATTTCAAAAGCTGTTTTGTGATAAGATGCTGGATCAAATGAGACTGTAAAATAATTCCACTGAGGCTGTGGAAGTAAGTAGCGGATGCTGGACCATGCTCATTTTGACTCAAAGCAGCACTACAAGGAAAGCTACAGTTTGGAAAAAAAAAAAAAAAAGGATGCATCAAAGCATTATCCAAAAATCTAGGTCAATACAGTTGTCAGAATTCTCTATATCGTTACAGTCATACTTTGCAACATCTGTGATCAAAATCCAGTTTGTTACCTTCATCAATATACCATGTATTTTTTGATTTTGGCTGTGCTTGAGAATCTACTGAGGAGCCATTTAAAGCGTAGAAAAATTCTGTTCTGTTTCTGTTTCCAGGATCAGAGAGCGCACCTGAAAAACAGGTCATGTCAGAAAGGAAGAAGATATACAAGTAAGCTTTTATGTTCTTACAAAAATATATAGAAGTGCTTCAGAATTGTATGACTCTTATGGAAGAAATATAACTGTAGGTCATCTGGTCCAAACACTACAATACGGCATGATCTCATATGGTCCCAACCCTTTAACACAACAGCTGTGTTCTCAGCTTACATTTCAAGCCATACACATAGTACCTTTTAGAAAGCAAAGCTACATCAAATAACAATTCTGTTTAAGCTTAATGAAACTGTTTTCTCAATAATATCCCTAAGATGAATACCGCTGATTTCAGACTTAATATTTTAGAAGGAATGAACATGGGTATGTTATTTAAAATTATATGCCACCGAATCCTAATAACTCTTGACTTATACATCATAACCAACACTACATATGGACTGTTTAACTGCAGTCATTGTAATATTAATATGCAAGGCAGAAACTGCCTCTATCTAGTCTTGTTCAGTAAACTGGAAAGATCAGCAGGTTAAGAATGGAGCAACCAAACTTTCTTCATAGGTTGCTTTATGTAAGTGTGACCTTAGGATAATCCTAGAAATATGCAGATATGCAAAGGTTCTCATGATTCCTCTTGAAATTTGGATATCCTTTTGCAATATATTTAATCCTTTGAAGTAAACTCCTCTTCTTCCTATTTTACAGATGACATTTGCAAGCGAGGAGCAATTTGGCTTGAAGGATCAAGCACAGGAAATTCAAGTAGCGAATCTAGAGGGTTCAGTGGAAAATGAATCTATCCATTTCCATTTCTCGACATCAACATCAGTTTAATGTGTAGTGTACTGTGTTCCTTATAAAGGTTTGACCAATATGTGTGTGTTTGTGTGTGGGTTGTCAAACCTGCATAAGGAATGCAGTATACTACACATTAAACATCTTCACGGATGTTGATATAGAGACTGAGTAGTCACTTGCCTTTAAATAGCAACATAAGAAGATTGCACATGGCAATCCTCATTTAAGAAACAACACTGTAAGTTTCGCTAAAATGTTGAGTCAAAGTACCTGTAGACTTTGGCTTGCTATGACCAAAAACTTTGTCACCACCACCTCTGGAAGTATAAGCAAGTTTGGGAGGTCTCCTGTCCTGAGACACAGCCTCTAAAACAGAACAGAGTTTAGCTATTTCACAAAGTATAAGAGCACATTATACCGCAATTTAATGTATTAGTTTCAAAACATTAATCAACAATAGGAAACACATTACACATTCCTCAGGAGGGATGAAAGTCCTGACATATAAAATTTTACATATAAGCTTAGCCAAACTAAGATGAAACCTCAATTATAATACCTGTCATAACGGAACTATAATATAAACTATCATCCTTTAGGAACAATATGAAAGTTTGCTTAAAAAAAACTGGTAATGATTAAATATTAAATAAATAAGGAATTTCTCAGATGGCCATTGCTGGAACAGGTTGTCAGACTAAATAAACCTTTATATTAATCCAGCACAGCAATTCTAATGTCTTCTTATACCTATCTGCTTCTCATCTCTCAAATTCAGCCAATGAAACCTTTGCTTCAGTTTACACCTACAAACTTTCCATCTTTGTCTTTACCCAGCCAAAAAGTAAGTATCCTAATCCAGCTGTCCATTACCTAGAAATATATGATCTGCTGGTTCCAAAGACTGCTCACATTTTTCAGTTTCCTTGGCAATGCCAAGTAAATAGTTTCATTGCCAACTTCAAGTCTGAAAACCATGAAAGGGCCGTCTAGATTCTACAGCTTCTTGCTAAGCAAATCAGCTAATTTCAGTAGATCCTGTTCAAGTCACTATATTCCTCCAGTGCAAAGCAGTTGACTCATACATGCAGCATAAAGGTTACAGTATTATTAAAGCTTTGTGAATAGAAAAACTGGCACTCTAATAATATGGAGAAAAGAACAGATTGCCTGTGGTTCTGAGCCCTTCTCACAAATACCCATTCTTTTATCAGAGCATATGTAGGTATCATTTGAACATATTCCTTTTAAAGAAGGTGTAAGAAAACAATCCCATAACCCAATACACAAATGCCGTACGGAAAAAATAAAATCACCTAGAGAGACCTTATGCGTTATTTTTTACCATGTACAGGTTTTTAAGTGTTCTTAACTAGCCTTTAAATCATTATGCATAATTATTCACAAATGTGGACTGCAATCACATCATTTCCATTCAACACTGTTCCAGTTCTCTAGCCCACACACTATCCTACTAAACAAAGAAAATTTCTCAAGTAGAAAATTCACTGCCAGATAATGAGGACTTTCAACCATCAGTCCTCGAGCTTTATCATCTGGAAATCGTTGAGAAGACTAGCATCCAATTAAGATAAAGACAACTGACTTACAACAGTTCATTTAGTGACTGTTCAAAAGTTACAACGGCACTGAAAGAATGACTTATGACCACTTTTCACACTCAATAACTGTTGCAGCATCCCTGTGGTCACGTGATCAAAATTCAGATGCTTGTCAACTGACTCATATTTATGACAGCTGCACTGTCCAGGGGTCATATGATCACCTTTAATAATAGGCAATATAGTAGATACTGAAATATCTACTTTAAATTTGAACTGCAAAAAAAGCCAAATTTTAAGCAAAACTAAAACTAGAATCAGACATTAAACAACATGCTAAAATCTGGAAACTCTCCTCGAAATCAAAATAAAATATTACCTGGGATAACATCATTGATATGCAAAAGAAGTGTGCTTTCAACACTTGCAAAACTACAGAGTTGTTGTCCATTGTATCTTCCATCCCAATTTCCAATTGGATTATCCTAAAAAGCATTTTATAACATGTTTATCCGTACTGCTCAAGAGAACAGCCGAATGCATTCAAGAAAACCAAGATGTTACTAAAATTTGCGAAGTTTATGCAAAGCTAAGATGGAAAGCACAAACCATCACAAAGAAGCAGATTCTTGTAATGCTGGCAACCCACCTCTCACATACAGAAAGATTAGTCCACTAATAATCACATGCCACAATTAAGAAAAAAAACTCCCAATCACTGAGGTAGAAAACCCAGTTTTTCAGCAATTTTAGAAGTTTTACAAATGCAGCCATTCTCACTGGTTACCGAGAAAATGGAAAAGTTGATGAGTAAGGTAACTTTTTGATCTTTCATAGTTCTAAGTGGAACTAAGTGAGATTATGCAAGTACATCCCATTATATTCAATGTGCAAACAGCCTTTTGCTACATCAGATACCTATGGATATTTTGCCAAGTAGAACATTTGATTTCAGCATTTCTACTTGAAAGCTATTGCATGTTTTCCAATTATAGAAACAAACGTCGAGAGAAAAGTGAGGAACAGCCAACTATTACTGAGGTGTTCTTGAGCATTACAAATGATGAGGTGAAATTCAAATTCATACTGGGGAGTCATTTTATGTCCCTTCAAGAGGCCAAAATACATGGCTCCTTTTTTCAGAAGAGAACTGAGTTCAACAAACATGCTTCCCATTAGAATCACAGACAAGATTTTGTTTTTAACCTGACAAGCTTCAAGTCATTTTGAACAGTTAAGTAAAGCCTGTTAAACTCTCGGCTCATATGTAATCTTGTTCGTTGTTTGTTGTCCAACAAAGTAATACTGTACCATAAAATTCATATCCCCTAGAGAACATTCTTTGTTGCTGTTCTGTAATCCAAGAGGCATGATTATCCACCAAAGCAAATTAATATACGTTTTATCTCAGGGGGTCTTCAAACTTGGCTCTTTTATGACGTGGCTGATGAATTCTGGGAATTGAAGTCCACAAGTCATAAAAGGGCCAAGTCTGAAGACCCGTTTTATCTGATACTAAATAATATACTAGAATGATTACACATGGCGACAATTGTCGTAAGTAGCTTTCAAGGATGCCACCCACCAGCAATATTGCATGTACTATTTTAAACACACATGCAAAAAATCATAAAAATCTTGATTTCTTACCATGTCCACTCCAACAACGTATCCTAAACTCTCGTTTCCTGGTATGACATCACAGAATATAACTGTCCCATACTCTATATTCTTCCCTATCTTCACAGAAACCCTGGAGTTGAGCTCCAAAGGAGGAAGGTCTACCTGCATTGAGTCAACTGGAGCTGCATAGTCATTCTCCAGTTCATTGTCATCATCTTCCATCAGTTCTAGTTTGTCTAGGGCAACAAACACCCCACAGTCTTCATCACATCTGAACAGCTGTTTGCCTTGGTACTGTCCATCAGTAAAGCCCTGACCACGACCTTCTTCCTGCATTTACAAAAGGAAAAGAAAATGAATTGTGAAGTTCAGCCAGATGTGGAGCTGAGGAAGGTCCCAAGTCTCACAACCTTCAGGGAAATTAAAACTCCCTGGAAAACCTTAGATTAGGGAGGCCCGCTTCACACCATATGCTAAACCACAATAGAATCCATTTATTTTTGGCTCAACAAACGGCAGGAATCCAGCAAATGAGAAAGTTTATGTAAAGATATTCATAATGGCTGAACTCAAGGGCAGCGTCTGGTAGGAGATTCTCTCAACTCAGCCCATTTCAGCTATGTCGCAAGAATAAAATGACGTGGAGAACCATCCACACCATCCCTCAATCCTAAAAGGAGGACAGGAATACGAATGTGAGAAACAAATGAAACCTAACACTTTGCAGGTCTTCAGAAGGCATGCTCAATAATACAGAGAGTATGTTTCCTTAATGTATATGGAGATTCTCAGCCATCCAGGTCATAGTTATCCTAAAGATGCTTGTTTTTCTTGGAAGACCTTTCGCTTCTTATCCAAGAAGCTCCTTCAGCTCTCTCTCTCAACAGAAGAGGAGGGATACGACATCATCTATCTCCAGTCTACAACACAGTCCTTTCAACAGTTCCAAGAAGGCTCCACACCAGTGGTTCTCAACCTTTCGAATGCCGCAACCCCATAATACAGTTCCCCATGTTGTGATGACCCCCAACCACTTATACATCACCGGGTGCCAGGGATGTAGCCAAAGAAAAGGGGGGGAAAATGGCAGACAGCCTTGTTTGGCGACCCCCGTGAAATGGTCGTTCGACCCCAAATGGGGTCCCGACCCACAGGTTGAGAACTACTGCTCCACACCCATTTGCACCACTCGGGTGATCCTGAGGACACAGCTAAACCTCCAAGTGGCCTCAACGACTCTCTAAGAGGATGCAAATGACCAGCTGTCTGAAAGGAGTATAAATCCTTCCATTCCCCCACCATCCAGTCCCAGCTGAAGAAGCTTCTGGGATGAGAAGCGAAACGTCTTCAAAGAAAAACAAGAAGGTCCAGTTTGCCTCGTGAAAAAAAAGCATCTTTAGGTTTCATTCATGTACTTTAGAGCAGAGGTCCCTAAACTTTTGGGTACCAGGGACCAGTTACGTGGAGACAGGTTTTTCCAGGGGTGTGGTTTTGTGTGCTGCCTGCATCCTGTGTATGGGGCTTTCCTTCTTTGTACGGACCTGTTGCCGGCATGCCGCGGCCCAGTACTGGTCCACGGACCAGGGGTTAGGGACCCCCTGCATTAGAGGATTCTTTAAGAAAGAAAGAGAATCCTTACCAGAAGCTCCACTCCGAAAAATATGCCAGACAGGGATCTCTCTTGTATTAAGGGTCCTCTAAAGCGAACTACTCCGGGGTATTTCTCTTCTCCTGATCTCAGCTGCACTTTCACTGGGGAGCCGATATCGATGTGGAGGCCCTTCCGCAGTCTGCCTCTGCTTTTAAATATACTGTATCTCTCCTCGCAATTGGTAATTGCCAACAGCAGCTCTGCTCGTTTCTCCTCTATGTCGACGATTTCTTTCTCGTCGACGTACAGGACCACGTGGGGCTGTTCCAGAATCTTTATTCCTATTTGCAACTTCTTGCTTTTGGAGGAAGGATTGTTCCGGATGTGCCCGCCAGAAGACCTGTCTTGAATAAACTGGCCAATGCTACCTTTAGGTATTTTTAGTAGCTTTTGAGTCTGCTTGTCTATAATGCTGCATTCCTGGAGAAGCAAATAAAAGATACGTTCTTCCCAATAGGGAGAGCTCGCTTTCTCTTGACTCCACAAACCCGAAGTCATTGTGGTTCAAGCTTTGTATAAAGATGAAAAAAGGAAAATCTTCAGAAGAAGCTAAGTTGGCAACATAACTGTAAAGGAGGGTTTGTTTTTTTGTTTTTTAAAAAAGAAAGTTCCAGCTCCAACAATGCCTTAATGTTCTTCATCCATGTTCTACGGAGCTAAATCCAGAATAGATGACCTGAAGCATAAAAATAAAGGAAAGCATCATTAGAGGCTAAAGGATACCATAGTAAGAGTAAAGGACAGGAAAACAAGACACTTTTGAAAGCAGACATCATCACTGATTTTTATAGACCTATGACAACATCCAGCTGGCAAGAACGGGAACATGTTTAGATAGCTACAAAGGTCATGCTGAAGAATTTCTCAGCACAATAAATTTGACTGGCTAATAGATGCCCTATTCATCATCATCACCACCACCACCACAAGATGGACCATGTAGATTTTATCTTTGCAGTCCTTATTAATATTTTGAAGTGAGTGGACAGCTGCTCTCACAAATAAAAGCTTTTTTTCCCTGTTTTAGTAATCAAAACAGTTTTGAATTTTTTGGAAAAATTAAGATAAGCACAAGTTTTTTTTAATTCTACCATCTGACTGTAGGGAAAAAAATTACAAAAGTGTAGGTTTAAATAGTACTTAAAGTAACACATGCTTTGTAAATATGGATATTTCTGGAAATATCTGAGCGGTAGTAAACTCCATGTCTATACTGATTCAATCAGAATAATCTCTTAAGGAGGATAGGCTTCCAAATAAAAATCATGCAAAATAAGATTAGAGAAAGAAATTTGTATAGCTATTAGCAATTGGAAAAGTCATCAATGTACTTCATAGGTTTTTTTACCAATAGAAGCCAAGATACACATCTGTAATCATTTAGAATTGAGAGGCTTGTTCATTACCTAAAATAAACTCTACAAATCGCTTGTTGTCTTTCAGTCTAAGTAGAACTACCAATAATACTTTATTATACATCAGTATTTCACAAAAGCAATATTTTTTCTTAAATACGCATGCATATGAAAGCATCCCCTCAATCTTGGGAATAGGAATAGGTAGAAAGAGGTAATTGAGAAAGGAAGTACTTTTCAAAGGAAAGCTAGTATTACTTTCTGAAAGCCTAGGCCAGGCTATGCTGGCTCAGGAATTCCGGGAGTTGAAATCCATGAGTCATAAAAGAGCCAAGGTTGCCTACCCCTGGCCTAGGAAGATACCTAGATTTAAAATATCAGTAATTAACGGTTGCAACAAACAGCCAACCTCAAATTTTCATTAAAAGTACTAACCTTAGGATACAATTTTTGAACCAAAGATCAATATAGCAATTGAAACAAAGAATTCAACTATGAGCCTGGGAGGCAAAAGAATGTGTTTTTTTTTAAAAAAGTTGTTCTTTGCCTTCATGTCAAGCACAACTGTCTAAACGATCCAACCACATCGGAGGAATGTAGCAGTCACTCTTACGCCAAGTTTTGTTTGGAGTGGTTATTTTCATAAAACTGTATAAGTTTTATAGAGTTGCAGCCATCCAGAATCTGTACAAAGTTGACAGTCTAGGAATGCTGTAAACAAATAAGTGTCAACAAGTAACAACTGAGGTACAGTGCAGCTTTCAAGACTGGTCTATGGTGAAAAACGATCAGTATCATAAAAGCGTCCAGGTGACTGCTGATAGTATGCAGGTTCTCAGTTCTGATCCAATCAAACAAGGTAGTTCTTGTGTCCTTGAGTGAACAGAACCCAGCAGAAGACACGTACAGTATTATTCATCCTTATATTACTCACCACTAAGACAGTGATGGCAAACCTTTGAGACCGAGTGCCCAAACCGCAACCCAAAACCCACTTATTAATCACAAAGTTGCCAGGACTGCATCAGCATTGTGGTGCCCACGAGGGGCAGGAGGGGGCAGGGAGATGCCTCTGAGTGCCATCTCTGACACACAAAAACTGGTGGTGCAAAAATGGGCCATCGCGCTGCAAGGTGCAAAAACGGCCACCATCACGCCACGGGGTATAGATACAAGGCGCTGCACCACGCAAGAACGGGGCAGGGCTAGTGAGTATCATGCAGGCACTAGCCCCGCCCCATTTGCAGCACGTGCATGCTCGCGGCCCCAGTGTGTGCATGCACGCATGTAAAATGCTTCCCCCTCTCTTTTCTTCCAGTCCACCAATCGACAATGGTTGGTGACCTCTGCTCCACCACCTCTACTCGAGCTTGCTAGTCGGCCGTTTTGCCTCCTTTGTACTAGGTGGGGCTCCTGCTCCAGCCAGCGGTAGAGGCCTGATGGACCTGCTGCTGGCGGTGGTGGCGTGCATGCCAACAGAGAGGGCTCTGAGTGCTGCCTCTGGCACACGTGCCATAAGTTCGCCACCACTGATCTAAGACATGACTGAGATGCTAAAGACTGAACCAAAATCTTTTAAAAAGAAAGCACCAACAGTGGCCCACCTCCTCTATGGCTCCCTCAGTTAACCACTGTAGCATCCTAAAGTCTAATAATTTAGCAGCTATAATCTTATATAATTCTGCTAAGCCACACCAAAGTTGTGCCTAACACTAAATCATGAGAGTGGATTTCATGATCATGCTAAAATAAATAAATCACATTACGGTTTAGCGTTATCCATAAATTACTAGCATCAGCTTTCATTAGCAATCTCTGTATTAAATTCATATATAATACATTTCAAAGGAACCAATGGCAACCTGCTCATCACATTGTATATTCACGATTCTGTGACTGTTTTAGGTGGAGATCTAACAAGTGATTGGAATTGAACCACTGAGTTTTGTGAATGGAGTGACTGTCTGATATCCTCAAGAATGCAAGTAATATTCCAGCCTCCACATAATACTGGCATTCTAGAAGTCGATTCATCAGATACATGGTGTTATCAATGAGTATATTGATAATATGTAAGAAGGATAAGAAATCCTGAGAATCAAACAGGTTGACAATAGTGAGGTAAACCAGCCTTTAAACTCAAAAGTTAAAAAGTATCATGACAAAGTATGATAATGTTAATTCACCACCATAGCAAAGCTACAAAGGACTGGTATTTACCTTGTAGAATTTGAATTCTGTCAAGAAATATTACAGACATTCTGTACTTGATGTCATGAACTTTTGTCTCACCGTTTATATCTGATTCCCAGTAATTGATAAAATGGATTATGACCTTGATATGTTGGGCATTTATCAATTTCTTAGTCTTTAGGGTATCACAAAACACTTGGGTTTGGTACCAAAGATCAACAAATAACAATTATTAATATGTATTAAATTTGTACATTGCCCAACCTCCCAACAAACCTTCTCTAAATCTGTATCTCTCTAAAGTTACATTTATTGATTAAATAAGACAAATATATTCTTTCATAGCAGGACACAATTAAACTTATCCTACTACACTTAAACCAGAAAACAATGATTTAGAAAAGACAAAATAACAAATAAAAAAACTCTGGTTTCTTCCCGAAGAACTATTAACCAAAGTTTTATCCTTAGATTAGTGTGGGAAACTTCAGCTCACTGCTAACTTTGTGGTTCAGTATGACTTCTGCAAAGAGATTCCATGTGATCATAAGACTTGCATCACTAAATTAAGTCATGAACCACTTCAGTCTGAAGTTTCAGCCTGAGAAAACGAATGGCCCCATCTTGGCTTATGTTGCAGAAACAGATTCTAGTCCACAAAAGCTTCTGCCACAGCTGCCCTTTTGTGCAGGCTTACTCACAATGAAGCACTACTGAACTTAATAGGCTTTATTCCAGAATAGGCAGGATTGTGATTCCCCTATAAATCTCTTTCTGTTATGTGATATTGTGGTCTCAGTATTTGTTTTCTGACTGCAAAAGACAAAGCCAAGAAGCCTTCTGAATTAAAGTACTGTACTGTAAGGAGAACCTGCTGAAGTAATGTAAGCACTGTAAGAAGAAGTATTTTTATAATACAGACATGCACACAAAAACCACACTATTCTCCAGAGTAAAAATTTTAAAAGGACGAAACCACAGAATCTTAGTCTATTTTTAAGTATAAGATATTATCCATAGGAAACATAACAGACAATTTGCTGAGTGAAAAGTCTTAAGATCCTGCCTAGAAGAAAACAAGGCACCTTTTTTATTTCATCACCATGAAAAAAAACCAAATCGAATGAAAAATGATGTTTATGTTTGGCTGGCATATATACATACATATACTCAGAAAAACACATATATACATATCCACACATATATATGTATTCCTTATATATATATATGCACGCGTATAGGCAGATACACGCACACAGGCATATATGCGTATAGGCAGATACACGCACACAGGCATATATATACATATACTCTCCTACACACACACAAACTTTAGGCCAGTGGTTCTCCACCTGTGGGTCGGGACTCCATTTGGGGTCGAACGACCATTTCAGGGGGGTCGCCAAACAACGCAGTCCGCCATTTTTTTCCCCTTTTCCTTAGCTGTGCTACTCCCTTTTATTCTGTTGGCTTTTGAAAGCCAATAGAATAGACTCTCTTGACTAGAGTCTAATTCTATTGGCTTTCAAAAGCCAATAGGAATTGTCCAGGCTGTCTCTGCCCTGCTGAGCCCGCCAAAAGTCCCATTCTGCAAACAGTGCTGCACCCGTTGAGTAGTCCTCGACTTACGACTGGTTGGGGGTCGCGGTATTAAAAAGGTTGAGAACCACTGCTTTAGGCAGTTTTGTCACTCTGCCCAGCACAAAAGAAGCCTCCCCAAATGAGAAAGTGAAACCAAAAAGGGGGAAAAAGGGGCAGGCAGGAGAAAACTTTCTCTGAAATTGTACACAAAGCATATCCAAAACATTTTAAGGCGCTCCCTCTATGTTTCAAGCAGAGAAAGGTGTGTGTGTGTTGTGTGTGTTTGTACAATGGAGAAGCCAACCTACTCAATGAAGAGGGGGAGCAGCTGCCAGCACCGTCATAACCATGCGAAGACCTTTGCCAACTAATTGCACGAAGGAGAAAATTCAGCACGAAACAAACAACAGCAAACAATCGCCTTTGTACAGTAGTGAAAAGGATGAAACAATTGACTGTTTGATCAGGGGCTGCAGCAAAATTTCACCAACTAACCTCAAGCAGCCTCATGACTGAGTTGCAGAATTATTCGCTGGAAACTTTGCCAGAGGTCTGATAGTGAACGTAGTTTAAAAAACAACTTCCAGGGACCATCAAGGTTTTGGAAAAACAGCAGGTTAAGATCTTATGGGACTTCAAGATCCAACAGGCTTCTTGCTCACGAGATGCCTGATAGAACAGTTACTGAAAAGAAGAAAGTTTGGTTCACTTGACCTTGCTATTCTGGGTCATGCTAGGACTGAGGAAAAACAATTGGAAAAAATTAGAAAATATTGGGACGTGCAGATCAAAGCTGAACGCTTATGGAAAAAGAAATTTGTTGTTATACCACTCATAACTGGTATATCTAAAAGACTTTCTAGGATGGCTGGATGATTGCGAGAGAAAGGGAGAGATGAGATAGATAGGTAGGTAGGTAGGTAGGTAGGTAGGTAGGTAGGTAGGTAGGTAGATAGACAGACGGATATAGAGATATAGAGACATAGAGACAGACAGACAGAGATGTAGGTAGGTAGGTAGGTGGATGGATAGATAGATGATAGAGATAGAGATATAGAAATAGATAAATGGATATAGAAATAGAGATATAGAGATATAGACAGATAGATATAGAAATATAGAAATAGATAAATGGATATGGATATGGATATATAGAGATAGATGATAGATAGATAGATAGATAGATAGATAGATAGATAGACAGATAGACAGATAGATAGAAATAGATATAGAGAGATAGATTAGATAGATAAGATAGATATAGAGATATAGAAATAGATAAATGGATAGATATAGAGATATAGAAATAGATAATGGATATAGAAATAGATATAGAGATACAGAAATATAGATATAGAGATATAGAAATAGATTGGATATAGAGATAGATAGATGATAGATAATGACAGACAGACAGATACAGACAGGCAGATAGCGATAAGTGAGATAGATGAGAGATGAATACAGAGATACACAGATGATAGATCTAATCTATTAATTTATTAAGTATGCTGCCTTTATTGCTTTTATAAATAACTCAAAGTGAGGAGCATACCCAATAAGTCCTTTTCCCTAGAACAACAACCCTGTGAGGTGGGTTGGACTGAGACAGGGAGGGACTGGCTGAAGGTCACCCATGAATTCATCAGACATAAACATCTTAATTTTACAAAAATAGAACAAAAACCCACCCACCTATCCACCCACCCCCTGCCCTGCTTGGAACTGCCCCTATTCTTAGACCTTGATCATTCTTAAGTCCTTGGTTAGAACCTGAAGGATTAAATTTCCACCAGTCTCAGACTGTGAATCTAACTGCAGATGATGATGATGACATAATAAAAATAGCAGTTTTAATAAGAGCGCCCCAAAGGCCCGGTTTGAGCCCACCCCCCCGCGAGTCTGGGCCGGCCGCTTTCCTTCAGGCCAGCCTACCTCGCAGGGCTGTTGTGCAGCGACCTCGAAGGAGCGCTCCGCCGGCCGCCGCGGTCTTGTCGGGTGGGAGGGTGGGGAACGGGACCCAGGGACGACCCCGAAAGGAAGGAGGGCGAGAGGACCGAGCCCGCCGCGACGTCTCAGCGCAATGGCCGGCGCATCCCGCTCCCGACCGGCTGCGATTCCGGCCGCTTCCCGCCATTACCTTTCTCTCCTCTGTTCGCAGGCGGCCGCGACAGGACTTCCTCGCCTCCCAGCGCCCCGAGTGGAAGGAGGGGAGCGACGGCGACGACCGCGACGCTGCCCGCCGTCCTCCACCATCCTCGTCCCCGCAGGAGCTTCGGCGAGCCGCTTCGCGGAGCGCACCCTACCCCGCTGCTGGAGGCCAGCGCCCGCTCCGTCCCGCCCCGTTCCCGCCTTTAGCCAATCAGAACACGCGGGAGCTGGCGTTGCTCCTTGCGACTGGTTCCCTCTCCCTTTCTTTCTCTCTCTCGGTAAGACGGAGGGAATTTCCATCTTTTCCCTCACCAGCATGCTAGGCTGAACGGTAGCGATAAGTCGTTGGATTGGCTGGCCGGACTCGTTCCTGTTAGTTTAGTGGCTAAAAAGGGAAGAAAGCTCCTCCCAATTGCTGCCCGTCCGCGCTGATTTGATTGGGCGGATTTTCCCAGGACTCGCCTACCTCGCTTTCTATTGGATAAAAAAACGAAAGAGCGGAGGGAAAAGTGGGCGGGGGCTGTAAAAGGCAAAACGTTACCAAGTCCTCCACCTCCTCCTGCCCCCGCCTCCAGATTGATGACATCATTCGGAGGAGGGCGGGGCCATGCGCTCATGCTGCTATTGCATATTAATCCGAAATCGGCGCTTATAATTATACTGTAAAATCTTTGTTGGGGCATTTTTTGATTTCTATTATTTCTCCTAAAATAATAATAAAAATAAGATACAATTGCAAAACCAAGAATAAAAAGGAAGGAACACTGGTTGAGAGGGTGCGTGCAAATGTCATGCATGCATAAGGGGAGAAAAATGCGTTTAAAATAGGTGGTTTCTTTTTAAATCTATGCAGCTCTTTAGAATGATTTTCATATAGATCCTTCAAAAATGTATTAAAACGTCTGCATAGAATATGTGCCCCGTGTACGTTGACAGACAAAAATAAAGGGAACCTAAACTATATATAATTATACTGTATAATAAAATGGGGATGTAAAATTATGGATGGATGGAGAGATAGATAACGAAAATAGATGTAATTTATGTTTTATTTATGTTTCTAATGTGATTTTTTTAACCAACGGTTTATTGATTTATTTGATAGATTGAGATGGCTATTTATCTCATACACATGATGCTGGGTGGCTAACGAATTAAATTAAGAATAAAGTTAAACACAACCAGTGCTGACAGTCTGGGGGATTCTGGGAGTTGAAGTCCACATAGGTCTTCAAAGTGGAGAAAGACTGAGCCAGAACAAGGGTCTCCAACCCCCAGGCTGTGGCCCTTGGGAAATGAGACACTGAAGCAACGGGCAAGCACACAAAGCTTCATTTGTGCATGTATGGGATTTAGCTTGATTGCAAAACCAGTCCTCCCATCACTGAAACCACCACCACTGGTCCGTGGACCCAAAAAGGTTGAGGACCCCTGATTCTAGAATTCAGACAAGTCACTCTGGTCTTGCCCTTCCTTCAGTGAAATTGACCTATGGCAGAAAACCTAAGAACTGTCAGCTAATCACGGTTCACTTGTTCCGACTTCAAACTGATCAATCCATGAGTGTCTCAACCTAAGCAAGGCAAGGTATTCTTGTGTCCCACGCTCTGTGCATTTTTGTGTATGTAGTCGTAACCCTGAGTCTGTTGGATCTTCTTTCCCAAAACATCCCAGAAGCTGTTTGAAGAGAAGGTCTTGGAAGGAGAGTTGAGTGTTTGTTTGTTTTTTAAAAAAAGCAAAACCAAGAAATAAGCAAAACAACACTGAAAGGTTGCTAAGTTGCCCTCTGTTGTACTCTAAATCTCTGCATAGCTCAACAACAATCATAGTTCGGTCATCTTGCCCAAATAGTATGGCGGTGCCAACAAGTTGCTATGCTGAGAAAATGGAGAATAGGAAATGACGGAAACATTGGGATCAGGAACAAGGAGCCAGATCTTGGGGAAACGAAGCTGGCTGCATCTGCAGGAGGTCAGGATATGGAAAAAGAGAGGGAGATAACTCTGTCCTTCCACAGGAATTTAGAATAAATCTCTGGAAGCAGAGATGTCTCAAGAAGGCAGCAAAGCAAAGCTGGTTCTGGGCTGGCATTCATTGGACCCTGTTGGTCATCATCTCCAGAAGACAATGCTTCCAGCACACAGAGTTGGCTCAACTACAAGCCTCTTCTTACAAGATTGAGTAATCATGGTGGAGTTAAGGGGATTCCGTCATCTCAGAGCTCCTTCATTGGACAAGCTTCACCTTTTCAACCCTTTTTTTATTAAAAAAACCAACTATTTTGCTAGCACTTCTGCACCAATGTGATGCCAGTATGCAAATTATTTGGAACAATGCACAGAAAGCATGAGCTGAAAGGTGTCACAAAGGCAACACAAGATAGGCTAAGGTCATAGAGGTGGGGCATTCAGTCAGGTACCTCCATCCAAGCCAAGAGGGAACTTTGGGTGTCTAGTGTTAGGACTTAGTAGACTTGACTGCAAAGTGTAGAAGTCTTGTTCTCAAGTGGCTTTTCCAAGAGGTCTTGGGGCCACCTCAAAAGCTCAAAACGAATGAGGACAACAAAGTGCTGGAGATGCTTCCATGGGACCATTTTATGTTGCCTTTGCTGTTTTAGGACAAGGAGAAGGTACCCATTATTTTTTTTATTCTTTGGCTTGCTAAAACAGTGTGACAAATAGAAACAATTTGGAGAAGCTTCTAGTTGAAAGAATCAGAGTATCTAACCCTAAAGAGGATTCTAGACCAACCTATATGATACTGTTCAAACTGTTATTATCTGATTTCCAAACAAAGTTGAATATCAAGCAATGATACACCAGTAAAAGAAATAATACTGTAAAGCGTTATCAGATGAAATGGGTTCCCTTTGTTTGATTCCCAGAGTATAAATGTGGGAGCTTCCTTAAGTGTTATGCAAAATAAAAAATAAAAAAAAATCAAAATATAAAATTCCAAAAATGTGTCCAGACTTTTCAAAATACTGAGAAGCACCCAGTGCCATCTTTTATTGAAATGATAAAATGAAAATATTTCTTGGTGGTTGTTTTTTTTGTTTAGAGAAGCAACCGATGATGCTATTCCCCATAGCCTACAAAAACAGTTCAGAATACCTTTTATTCTACTTCAGGATATTTTCAGGGGTGTATCCCATCCCCGGTGGGCCACTGGGCAATCTACGTTGAGCAGTCTGAAATTCAGCTCTCTCCTCTGATGAAATTATGTGCTTTTCCTGCAGTTCAGTGGAAAAAATCCTGGCGTTTTCTGGAGCCAAGTGGTACACCCCAGGTTTGGAACCAGTGATAGTCCACGATATTTTATCAGACAGCATTCCAGATATCAGGGATGATGATAGTATGGAAATTACTGCGATGATGCATGAGGGGAAAGAGGACGGTGATCTACTGAACAGCACTTCAGATCTAAATCTAGAAGATGATCCAGATCAGAGCAACATGCCGGTTGATCTACAAGACTACCTGGATGAATGGAAGGGATGTAGTTCATTTCCAGGCCGTGACTTCAAAGCCTATGAGACAATAGCAAACCCAATGGATCAGATTATGCAAAACAAACCAAAAGAGATAGGACAAGAAACTAGAAATCATTCTGGACCGTCTGGAGAAGAATAAGAAATTAGGGGAGAAGGACAAATCAGCACAAAATATTGGGCCTTAAAGGAGCATTAACAAGAAGATTCTTATGCAAGCTATAACTTTTAGCTCTGAGAAGAAGGGATCTCGTTTTATAAACGAGTGTTACTTCAGGCTTTGAAGCCCAGTTGGTTAAGACCCAGAAAGTCTTCAGATTTTTAAGCTTAGAGTGAATCCCAACAAACTTATTTATTTGATTATATCTGCAATGCATTTTCATGTCTTTTTTAACACTGAAGCTAGAACAGGGATGAGGGACTTTTTCTGCAGAAAGTCCCATGTGGGTAGATCTTAAGCAGTAGGTGGAGTTAGCTATGCTCTCTTTGTATTTCCTTATCTTTCCGATATTCTTTTTTTTTTTTTTTCCTTCACAGCCGACTAGTATGGTTCATGCTCTTCAGAAGTCTAAACTGACTTCAGAGAGCTTTGTAAATAGGCACCTCTGAGGGTGCAGGTTGTGCACCCTTAAAGTATGTGTACCCTTTGCAGATTCTGGATTTCTTCAGTTTCACGGAAACTTGTTGACTGATTGTTGTGTTGTACTGTCTTTCTACCGTGCCCTTCCTGTTTTTAAATAAATGTTTTAAAAATATTTGAGTCTGTCTAATTCTTCAAAATGCAAGGAAGGTAAGTAAACACAGACACGCTAAAGAATTCCACAAGAAAAGAAAGGGGAAGTAAGATGCGCCGTTGTCCTCGTATAAAATATTGATAAGTACAATAGGCTTCTATTCTGTCCGAAGATTTGAAACTGTATTCTTTACACCTGAATGGAGACAGACAGACATAGATAAATAGCTCTCTGTCTGTTAACAGAGTGATACAAAATGGAAGAATATATCCTGGTTCATAAATAATGATAAGATTATCATTTTTAAAAGCTCAGTTTGTTGAATAAGGGGTGTGTGCATCCAGGATCTAAGCCATATTGTTCAGCTGACAGATCACAACATCTGAAGTCACATAATAACACACTAAACCAAAAGGATAACTGCTTAACATCTGTGACCCACCCTACTGTTGTTTGTGATCTTTTAGTTGAAAGTTTGAAGAACCAAGTTCAGACCCCTTTTCTTTGAAAAGTTTCTCACTACGATTTGAAGAAATGATCCGCTCACTCCATGTTTAGTGATGTCAACAATTCTAAATTCCACAAAATTAAGAAAGTCTCCCACAATCATATTTTTTTGGGGGGGGAGGGGAATCCTTTAGTGCCCCAAATCTCATTTTTTCAAAAATAAATACCTCACCACAACATCAAGCAACCTATTTCGAGGTCCTGTCGGTACAACAGCTGAAAAAGAATTGTGTTGGAATGGAAATTACCAGCCAGAATTCTCAGAAATTTAAACAACAATGAGACATTTATGCTAGCACAATTCTATTCTTAGAGAGTAGCAACTATTTTAAGCCATTTTATCTTTTGCTGATAGATTGGATTAGAGACTGGTAAATCAGTTCTTGGCTACTGGGTTTTTTTTATTAGTTTTGACAGGAAGCAGTTTGAATGTTATATTTATAGCCCAAAAGCTGGCTGCTCATATATCAGTAGAGCTTATTTCAACCATGACCTGCTTCACAGGCAATAACTGATAAATATTAATCCTTTAAAATGCAGACACTGGATGGAGATTCTTTCCTTCATTTCCATTTACTTTAACAAACACAAGGGGACCTGAGGCATCTGGGTAAATTGTAGCCTAGAAATATCTCTCATTGATGACATCTTCATGGGGATATATTTAGGAGAAGTCTGACTTGGTGAGCCCTCGGCAAAAGGCAGATGATCAAACAAAAGAAAAATGCAGAAAAAACAAAATGCAGAATAACAGAACAACACAGTTGGAAGAGACCTTGGAGGTCATCTAGTCCAACCCCCTGCTCAAGCAGGAAACCCTATACCATTTCAGACAAATGGTAGTCCAGTTTCTTCTTAAAAACTTCCAGTGATGAGGCACTCACAAGTTCAAGCAAGTCGTTTCACATAAAGCCCACAGTGAGTTGTCCTTACTTGGATAGGTCCTCTAAGACTGTACTTACCTGACATTTTCCTAGAACTAAATAATAATAATAATAATAATAATAATAATAATAATAATAATAATAATAATAGTAGTAGTAGTAGTAAAGTTGGAAGGGACCTTGGAGGTCATCTAGTCCAACCCCCTGCTCGTGCAGGAAACCCTACACCATTTCGGACAAATGGCTGTCCAGTCTCTTCTTAAAAACTTCCAGTGTTGGAGCATTCACCGCTTCTGGAGGCAGGTTGTTCCACTGGTTAATTGTTCTCACTGTCAGGAAATTCCTCCTTAGTTCTAGGTTGCTTCTCTCCTTGATGAGTTTCCATCCGTTGCTTCTTGTCCTGCCTTCAGGTGCTTTGGAAAATAGCTTGACTCCCTCTTCTTTATGGCAGCCCCTGAGATATTGGAACACTGCTATCCTGGCACCCCTTGTCCTTCTCTACATGTGATGTAAAAGCCTGAAATATGCTTCAGATTCCATCATCATCATCATCAACAATTAAGCATGATGAATATAAAATATTTCCATTCTGTCCACTTGTTGAGTTTTGGAACTGCTTATACAATATTTTTTTTCCAAAGATCAGAAGACACAATCCTTAAGAACAAAGAAGCCTAAACAATACAATACATGTGAGACAAAATAATAGCAATCCACCGATCTTAAAAGTTTTCAAAAATCCATGTGTCCTTCATCAGTTTCTGGAGTTCTTAGTCTCCATAAAACCAGACATTTCTGGCTGAAATTTTTCACGGAAAAGTAGGAAAATAGGTGACTGGGGCAATCAATACATAGACCAGCTTCACTATTACATTTTAAGATTGCTATTCTCAATGTTGACCAGATTATTGGGAGTGTGTCCGGACCTTGCCCTCACATCAAGGAACCAGGTATCCTATTTCAAAAATTCAGACTCCTCGTGTATTTTTGTAGTAACCATCTTCTTAAAACATCACAGATGAGATTAAGAATGAGGAAGCTCAGCTAAACTTCCTTCATTAGAATAAAATAGAGAAGTTGACCAAGACATCTAAAGTGAAACTCAATGTTTATTGTCTCTTCAGATCTCAAAAGGAAGGCAGAAGTGTTGCTATCGTCGCGTTTTAGAGGCAAGAGCTTCAGAACATAATCAAATAATTTCCAGAATTCTACCAGGTCAGGATTTTGTCTGTCTTAATTAAGAGTAGGCAAATTTAAAATTTATGGGATATGCTTGCTTGTTATTTTTGCTTAGGTCTTAGGACTATTCCTAACTGTATTGTTTTGTCTGTCAGAGTCTGTTAGAGAGCCAGTAGGCTAGATGGCTGTGAGAGAGTTCCATCCATTGTGTGTTTTGCATGAACTGAATCCACTGCAACTTATTCAACTTATGCTGGAAAACATGTCTGAAAAGCTTTGTGTGATATACTGACAGCTTTCTCAGGTAGACCAAACAAGAAACATGACCAGATGAGATAATTTTACTTTATTGTAAGGCTACATTAACTAAATCTTGCAAGTTTGATAGTATAAATCTCCTGGCTAATCTTTTATAGCCTGAGGAGGATTTTTTCTCTGCCTGTTATGGATCTGTTAGTTATGTCCTCTCTCATCTGATCATTCCCTAGACAGCAAATAGAGTAGAGTAGAGTAGAGTAGAGTAGAGTAGAGTAGAGTAGAGTAGAGTAGAACAGAACAGAACAGAATAGAATAGATCAGGAAGGGACCTTGGAGGTCTTCTAGTCCAACCCCAAGGCAGGAAACCCTATACCAGACAAATGGCTGTCCAGTCTCTTCTTAAAAGCCTCCAGTGATGGAGCATTCACAACTTCTTGAGGCAGGTTGTTCCACTGGTTAATTGTTCTAACTATCAGGAAATTTCTTCTTAGTTCTAGGTTGCTTCTCTCTTTGATTAGTTTCCATCCGTTGCTTCTTGTCCTGTCCTCAAGTGCTTTGGAGAATAGCTTGACTCCCTCTTCTTTGTGGCAGCCCCTGAGATATTGGAACATGGCTATCATGTCAGTTTTTCTTTCTTCTTTTCTTTCTTCCTTCCCATCTCCCAAGGTCACCCAGCCATCACCCGCCACTATACCTACTGATTATATTTGTCTCTGGAAACTTTACAATGGATGAAAAACAGGGTTGCTCAAGAGCAGAAGAAGGACATCAAGATTTAGCAGAGACATCCAAACCTCCTATGGTCATCCCTTCAGGCGAAGAGGATGATTATGAAAACATGAACTCATTCCAAGCACCCCAGGAAGCAAAAGAGACCACCAACCAACCAGGTAAGCAATTTTAAAGGATAGGCAACTTGTTGTCCTCCAGAAGTTTTGCATTCCAAATTCCATTAGCTCCCACCCCCCACTGGAAAGGTACTGCAAGAATTGTAATCCAATACAACAGCCTACCTGTGGTTCTGAATCGCCCTTATTGGTTTGTTCTGGTTCGGCTCAATACTGAATTTGAATGGACTGGCCTTTTTACAAAGATTGAAGTCCAATTTATATACTCCAGAAAGCTCGGATTTAATGAATGGGGATTTGACAAAACCAAGTGAAATCTAGAAAGGAACAAGACAGGGGTGTCATTTATCCCCTTTCTTCTTTATCTTGGTGAGGGAACTGCTAAACAGGGACATTAGACAAGAGAACAGAGTAAAAGGATTATAAATTAAAGCACATAAGTATAAACTTCATGCGTTTGTTGATGACTTGGTTTTGATTTTGCAAGACCCGCTAGAGAATATCGAATATGCTATGAGGAAAAGTAAAATATTTGGAGAAATGGCGGGTTTGAAAATAAAGATAAAAGGATGGTTCTGCTCAATGTACTGCATGCATCCAGCAGTTATGGTTTGTAAACTGTGGTTTATAGCTTAACTCAGGGTAGCCTATACAAACTTCCCCTAGCATTCCAAGTTAAAATTATTTCAGTGCTCTAAAGATAATATAAAATATCTTTATTACAATCTTTGACCCGCCTTTACAATAAGAGTATAGTAAAAAGGAGAAATAGTTTAATACAGCAGTTAGTTATTATGAAAAAGGAAAAATAGTCATAGGATAATAAAACAGCAGATCTAATAAAAACTTTAAATATGGGGGAAAATATTTGACTACCTGATATGTGAGTATAAGGTTAGGGTCCCTTCAAAAATAATAAGCGTAAAATTTATCTGCATCACCCTTGTATTTGGAAATGATTGAGGTGATCAGACATGTCCTGGAGCATCACAGAAAGAGCATTAGATGGGAATATAAATTAGAATTTCTACTTCCTTGGCACCACATGGGCAGTCTCTGTAAATAAGGGTCTTATGAAATCTTTCTTCCGGTAAAGCTGATGATAGGGGATCAAATCAAAATCCAGAAAATGCCCGTCTATATTGGCATGGGGTTAAACTGCCTGGGTATCCTGCGTGATCTAAAGATAATAGAAAGTTTACAATCCATGCCATAATTCTAAATCAGCACATTGACTCGAATTTTAGGTGAGAAAAGTCCCAATTCTTCCATGACAACTAAAGAACTTCAGGAATACTGGCGGAATGAGAAACGGAGCTGCCGAGAAGTCAAGGTGCTTTTTGAAATCCCATCAGCCAAAATTGTAGAGAAGCCTTTCTCTAAATATGTGGTAAGCTAATATAACAAAAGAGTGATGATGATGATGATGATGATGATGATGATGATGATGATGATGATGATGATGATGATATGATGAAAAGGAGGAGGAGGAGGAAGATGAACCAGCCTAGGGTTTGAAACAACCTCTGTTGACCTAAGGTTGCTCAGATCTCTAGCTAAATAATTCCCTTTCATTGGTTGAGTCAATCACAACTCGGATAACTTCACTAAGGCTGGATAGTTTTATTTGTTGTACTAAATCATGGTGAAGAATACAATGGTTAGGTTAACACCACATTATAAGCCACAAATATAATGATTATAGCAATTACTGGATTAAGCTACATTACATCTTAGCACAAGCATTGTGGTTTTGAATAGGGTGGTACCCCAGCTGTAAACCATAGATTACGGTACAGCATTATGTGTGACCCAGTAATTCACACAAAGTACTAAGCCATGAGTACTTTGATCATGGATTGTTGAATAAACCACAGGACATAAGTTAACACCTAAGATTAAACCATCTGCCACGGTGAAAAGCCAGCATATTGTGCTAAACTAAAACTGCAAATATTACAAGTCATACAACCCATATTCCAGATGACTCACTCCCCTTTTCCATCTTTCCTAAAATATTTTGCTTGTGTATCCCTTCTAGAAGTACCAAATCATCATAATCCAGACTGGCAGCTTTGACAGCAACATATCAATGATTGAACGCCGGTATTCTGATTTCGAAAAGCTGCACACGAGCCTGTTTAAAGAGTTTTATGACGAAATGGAAGACCTTGTCTTTCCCAAAAAGATCCTGACTGGCAATTTCATGGAGGAAGTCATCCTGGAGAGAAAACTCGCTTTCCAGGATTATTTGCGAATTCTATACTCCATGGAATTCATCAGGACATCCCGAATGTTTATTGACTTCTTAACGAGGCCTGAGCTGGAAGAGGCCTACAGCTGCCTTCGGGGAGGACAATACACCAAAGCTTTGGAAGGTCTTCTGGAGGCCGTCGCTTTGCTAGAGAAGCTGACAAGGCACCGGCCCATTCTGTTGGTTCCCACCCTCTGCGCCATCCTTGTATGTCACAAAGATCTGGAGAACTTCAAAAGCGCCTTCGAATTTGGAGAGAAGGCCCTACAGCGCTTAGAAAAACAAACTGGTCACCGGTACTACCTGCCACTGCTGGAAACGATGATCTCCTTAGCATATGAACTTGGGAAAGACTTCCTGTTCTTCCAAAAAAAGATGGAAGAGAGGAAGGCCAAAAAGCTTCCGCAGAAAATGTTGACACTGAAGGAACTGACAGTACAGGAATACGTATAATGAGGAGAAGAGAGGGAGAGAAATATAATGCAGATTTTGATGAGACAGGAATGTTTTCCCAATAGAGCAGTGGTTCTCAACCTGTAGGTCGGGACCCCATTTGGGGTCGAACGACCATTTTACGGGGGTCACCAAACAACGCAGTCCGACATTTTTTCCCCCCTTTTCCTTAGCTGTGCTACTCCCTTTTATTCTGTTGGCTTTTGAAAGCCAATAGAATAGACTCTCTTGAATAGAGTCTAATTCTATTGGCTTTCAAAAGCCAGTAGGAATTGTCCAGGCTGTCTCTGCCCTGCTGAGCCCGCCAAAAATCCCATTCTGCAAATGGTGCTGCACCAGTTGAGTAGTCCTCGACTTACGACTGGTTGAGTAGTCCTCGACTTATGACCAGTTGGGGGGTCACGGCATTAAAAAGGTTGAGAACCACTGCAATAGAGAGACTGAAAAATATTGGGAACTTAGAGGGGGGGAAAATATGAGGGAACAGTTTAATACATGATTTGTTGTGTGCAGAAAGCAGAACCTTTTGCTGGTTCTTCTTATGATAAAATTCAGAGATCACCCAGTGCAGACATTTCAGAGAGATCCAGAATTATTTTGTAAAAGTGTTCCCTTGGACCTAATAAACGTGAGATACTTCCATTCAAAACCAAGGTTGACGCTGACATATTTCCAAGAATTAAGTTTTCTTTCTTCCAGGGACAAGATATGTTTGGACAGTAAAGTTGAAATGAAAGGCATCCAATTCTGCAGTTGAGACCTATTGTCTATATGTCTGTACCCTCATGGCAGGGGTATCCCACCTAAAAGTCCAGGAATGTAAGTGGCCACTGGAAACTTGGGGTACAACTCCCAGAGTCCTTACAAAAATTGCCTTCAAATTCTATTTTTAATCCAACTGAGGGAGGAACAATTAAAGACACTGGGGGCAATCTTGTGAACTAGGTTGAATTGATCTAATATAATTCTAATCTCATTTTAAGGATAAGTCAAATTAAATCAGGTCTAGGTCTGAGTCTCGGCTTGGAGCATGCTGCTTAAAGACCAAGGACAGAGATGTGTAAAGAAATTGTGGGGCCTCAGACATCATGATGGTGTACCTCCTTTGTACCCAGTCACAGGTACAGACATAAAAACTGTATGATGGGCTTGTTTAACATTTGATGGATGAGTAGGAGCCATTTTCATGTGTCCTACAGCAGTCCATGTGGCTAATTTATGATTCACCAATTGTGCAAACCCAGAAAATGTCCCATATCAGCAACTGCGTTAACCGTGTTGTGTGAATGCATACACACCCTTGGTTGTATCGTGGTAAGCAGTAAAGGACCAAGTATACTAATATAGAGGTAAACTGTTTGCTTTGATTCGATTTTTAGTTTTTTTGTGTGTGTGTCGGCACTTCAGAAGCTTCTGTGAGCCCCCGTTGAGGGCGTCAGACAAAATGCAAATCCTATGCTATTTCATCTCAAAAGAGACAAGAGATGGCTAGCATCTGCCTGATGTTTTATAGAAACCTCCAACGACACATTCATGAGCATGCAACATCTGGGTGGAACAGTTTGAACATCTTCTGGGATCTGTGTTACAAGTTATTAATGTTGGAGCTCATTTTCACATCCGTTAAAATTACTGGGAATAGAGATGCCCTATCTTTGATGGTAAAGATGTCGAAAACATACCGTGAATATTGTTAGATAGATGCCCGCTAAACCAGAAATCAAGGCCAGGAAGTCTGGAGTAACCCAAGACTATCTAGGTCGATATTTCTTCACCTTGGCAACTTTAAGGCGTGTGGGCCCCAACTCCCAGAATTCCCCACCCAGCATAAATATATTTTCTAAATATAATTTTAGAAGATGCCCATCCTTTCTAAAATGATGGCACCGTTGGATTATCTGTTCTGAAAGTCAGGGTAGCAATAGCACTTAGACTTATATACCGCTTCACAGTGCTTTACAACCCTCTCTAAGTGGTTCACAGAGTCAGCGTATTGCTTGAACTGAGATACTTATTATATTAATTAATTAAATTAATCATGGAAAACCATCTCAATCCACCAACCGTCCGAAATCAGTTGGGTAAGGCGAATAGTACCTACAGGTCGGAATGGCAAGAAGTCCGTCTTCAAGGGCCTTGGTGAACCCACACAAGGGGCCCCACAAAAAAACAGAAACACCGTCTCAGCAGCAATCAACACCCAGATGAGCAGAGATTAACACCAAGTTGAACACTAGACCAACAATCAAGAAGTAAACAATACCCCAATCAAGCAACTACCCAACCCAAAGGATCAAACAGTGAATGACAGCCTAATCAAGGAGCCACCAACAACACTGACAGGGAAAATCACTAGAGATAAACAGAGAACAGACCCCCCACTCCCTTCTAGCACTGATGACATTATCTAGTTAGGTAATGAAACATCTGCAACTCGGTGAGCACCAAGGATCCCCCAGTTCAGCCCTAAGCAACAAATATTCTTTTATTACCAAAACAATAACAGCCAAGAAATTTATCTTGTCCCACCTCTGCTCTTCTCTCAGCTAAAAAGTTTTTATCAACCATCATCTGTAATACAAGAAGAATTAATGGAGAGAAAATGGTCTTATTTCTCCATTGATCTAATATTAACAAAGACTCTTTCTCCTTAATTAATACCCTTTGTTCCACTTTGGCCTTTGTCTTCAGGACAGTGGTGGCAAACCTGTGGCACTCGTGCCAGAGGCGGCACTCAGAGCCCTCTCTGTGGGCACCTGCGCCAGGCCCCAAAGATGGCAACTGTCCTCTTCAACCAGCCACCCGCTAACTCACCAAGGTCCCGTGTGGCTGGATGCATCCCAGCACCCATGAACTTGCTGGCCTCTGTGTGCGGGGGCCAATGGTGCCAGGCCCCTGCCTCGCCCTGTGACAATGGCACCCCTGCCCTGCCTCATCTTGCCTCGCCTCACCCCACAGGACCAGCCTCCTGCCCACTGCCAGAGACCCCCTGGATCTCCCCCAACCGTGCCCGGCCCCCACAGGTGTCCCTCTCCAGGAGCAACATTGAGTTGGCCATGCCCATCCATCTGCCATGACCACTGTAGCCACGCCCACCCGGCAGGCCACACCTACCCGACGCCCACGCCCACCCGGCACCCAGCAATACATAAGTGGGTTTGGGGTTGAGGTTTGGGCACTCCGTCTCTAAAAGATTCGCCATCACTGTCTTCAGGACATTAGGTATCCAAGATCTCCACAGGATTTCAGTGGAACTCAACCCCTGCTGTTCCCAGTTAGTCCGTTGTTGGTTTCTGCATCATCCAGGAGAGCCTTATGCCAAAGGATCCACACCTCAAGCATTAGTTCACCCTGAAAGACCAAGGGCGGAAGACTTCTCAGCCTTGATTTTACAAGAAAGCATTTCTGGAATTCTGGAATCTGAAATGAACCAAAGGAAAGAAGCAACCTACAACTAAGAAGACATTTCCTAACGGTGATCACAATCAGCCAATGGAATAGCTTATCTTCAGAAATTGTGGGTGCTCCATGACTGGAGGTTTTCAGAAAGAGATTGGACAACCAGTTGTCTGAAATGCTGGCTGTGGAATTCTGGGAGTTGAAGTCCACATGCCTTAAAATTGTCAAGGTTGAGAAACACTGTAAGAATCTAACTCTATTAATATTCTATGTTCTATTCTATGTTCTATGAATTCAGGAGTACATGTTTCTCTGGATAATGAATTTATGGTGCCACTAGATGGTGCTGCCACATTGAATGCCATCTGTAGTTCTAGGAGCTGTCATAAATCCAGCCTCTTTCTTCCTCTTTTAAGAAAAAAAGCTAAACTTGTTATTTTTTTTTAAATAAAACCATTGGAATTGAGGCTTACAATTCAAAAAAAAAAAAAAAAAAAAAAACAGGCCATTTACATTATTAAGGATTTAAATTTGAAAAAAAAATACACACCCAACACAATTCCACTGCGCGCTTTGGATTGAAGAATTTACCTTTCTAGTAATCCTTGAGGACAATTTAATATCTCCCTTTATCACGAGGTTGTATGAGCCGGGCTGGAGAGAGCTGAAAGGGAAAATATTCTTGCAGACTTTTAAACCTGGTGAGTTCAAAGCCAAAGGCACAGCTGTGCTTCCTTCCCTATACTGCCATTTCCTCCTGATCAAAAGGAAGGAAAGTAAAACTTGAAACTCTTTAAAGAACTATCAGATAATGAGGGGGGGAGAAGAACAAAAGTGAATTCTTTCTCTTTGCATGATCCAGAGGACAGTTGAAATTCAGTGTATTTCCTAGCTGACTTTTTGGAAGTTGCCTGAGATCGTTAACTTCACTGAATGTTGAGAATCCAGAAAGTCTAGATCAGGGGTGCCCGTCCTTGGCAAATTTAAGACTTGTGGACTTCAACTCCCATAATTCCCCACTATGATAGGCTGGGGGATTTTGGGAGTAGAAGTCTGCGAGTCTTGAAGTGGCCAAGTTTGGACACCCTGGATCCAGATAAAAGCAGCATCAATCTGTCACCATAAGGAGGGTCTATCTGCAGTAGACTGACCTTGATTAGTTTCCATCCATTGTTTCTTGTCCTGCCTTCAGGTGCTTTTGAGAATGGCTTGACCCACCCTCTTCTTTGTGGCAGTCCCTCAGATGTTGTAACGCTGCTCTCATGTCCCCCTCGTCCTTCTCTTCATTAGACTAGACATGTCCAATTCCAGCAATCATTCTTCATATGTTTTAGACTGCAGCCCCCTGATAGTCTTTGTTGCTCTTCTCTGCACTCTTTCCAGAGTCTAAACATCCTTTTTATATCGTGGTGACTGAAACTGGATGCAGGATTCCAAGTGTGGCCTTACCAAGGCATTGTAAAGTGGTATTAGCACTTCACATGATCTTGATTCTATCCCTCTGTTTATACAACCAAGGATTGTATTAGCTTTTTTTGGCTGCCGCTGCACACTGCTGGCTCATGTTTAAGTGATCGTCCACTAGCACTCCAAGGTCCCTCTCACAGTTACTGTTTTTGAGCCAGGTTTCGCCCAAGCTGTACTCGTGCCTTTGATTTTTCCTTCTTAGGTGTAATCGGGGCTTTTTTTGTCATAGAACGCCCAAAATGGAGTTCCGGCACCCTTTTTGTATGGAACCTTGAAGGCTAGGCAAGGTGGGTTGTATGACATGTGTGAGTTCAGGA